CCACAAACAAGGACGTTTTCGAATGATTCTCCATCTGCCTTTTAGAAGACTTCCCTTTTTATTGCTTTGAGTCCATTATCATTCAAACATGTTTTTATAGACATTAATACATGTCAGTATTTGTCAACCAAAGGTGGTTTCTAATTTCTAAGTTAATAGGTGTTATATTTACTCTCTACATTGAACGTATAAGGCCGCTTAGGGGTAGGTAAGGCTGTAAAAGGGTGATTTTTCTTAACAAAACGGTGTGATCTGTTACAAGGTCCTACTGTAAAAGAAAAGCTCCTACCCCTTTCATCTGTTTTCTGGTTTTGACAGAAAACATTCGTTCTGAGTCTGTTTTTTAAGATGGCGACTGGTTGATTTAGAGGCAGACGTTTTGCGGAATTTAAGGAGAAAATTGGAGTACGTAACCATTTCGTTCAAAGCTCTGTTGTCTTCACCCTAGTCTAGCCGAGATCACTGAGATTGATCTTTAACACGGTAAGAGATGTTGTAATCCTTTCAAATCTGAGTGAGGGAGGGGGGAGTTTGTAGATATTATATGAAGGTAGCACAAGAAAAGCGACATGAAAGACTCCATCTTTAGTTTGCTGTGTTGTACAGTTGTGTGTAGCACCAGACAATCCCAACCCATTTTATAGCTTGTCAATCTTTATGTCATGACCACAGTTACTTTACTGATTAATCCTGTGCAAAGTAGTTTATTTTCTTTACTTATTACTTGATTTCAAAAGTAACTTAGTTAGATTTCAAATTACATTATTAGTTCCATTCTGCAGCTGAGGACAAACTTCCAACTTCCTAAAAATGACAGGCCAATACTTTATTAATAGTATTGAAGGTGAATGCTGGAAACACGATTCATCTGTTCTGTCACCGCAATGCAAGAAGACAGCAAATATGTATTTTAACGAGGGAAAATGACCACAAACAGTAACGCACAGTGACTGAAAAAGCAACTTTAATCTGAAAAACATAATATTTACCCATTTATGAAAAAGTGGTCATATTGGAGGGACACTGATATGACGTTAAGTAACAAATAATTGCCATCACTGTTACGATCATCTGTATCAACCGCAGTATGTCAATCGGAAAAGTTGTAGATTCATGCCAGTTTTATGTCATCTAAAACTTTCAGAAATTTAGTTTCAGTGCAAGGTGAAATTAAAATTAAAACCAAAATTGTTTTTAAATGTCCTTTCTGCTTTTTCTTTTAACACGTTTCAGTTTGACCTTTTCTTCCCAGCGATGGATAAAAACTTCTGAGCGCAAACTTAAACCTCTAACTTTTTAAACCTGGAACTGAGCTGCTGCTGTCATCCTGCATTTCTCACATGTCAGTTTGTCTTTGGCTTTTTTGCACATTTCTTATTTATTTTTTATTTATTTTATTTTTAGTTTGGCTTGGAATGAATAGACAGCGCAGCCCGTCTGACCCACTTCACCTACTTTGTGGCTTTAGCCTTATGTTCTTCTGACTGAAAGCAGTTTTTCCACTCTCTCTTAAGCATTCAAAACAGATTTCCTTTGAAGATGTTTTAAAAGCACGCTGCTTCTGTGGGTTATCAGCCGCACGGCATGAACATCTTTCTAGCTTTTCAGTTTTAGTCCATGTCACACTAAAGTTTGTTGAATTAAAAAAAAAAAGAAAAAAAACGGAGTTACGTTTAAAAGGGGAAAAAAAAAAAAAAAGGTTCATTACCTTTTCAGACAGTGATGAAGTGTGGGTTTCTTTTAACCATCACCACCGTATTATTGTGACCATGACAAGTGGTGTTTTAGCTTGATAAAAGCAGCACCGGGCAGACTGCGGTGCCTCATGATGGCAGGTGAAATCACTTTGCTGTCTAAGCTGTATCTCAACATGATTTCCAGCTTGGTGCCATTGACAAAACACCTGCCACTGCATCGATCTGTCGGCAGCTTCAGCCGTCAGATTTTTGGGGGACTGTTCATTCTTGCCTTTGCCCTCTATCATTAGCTTCAATGTGATCTTGCTCTCTTCTTCTTCTTCTTCTTCTTCTTCTTCTTCTTCTTCTACGTCAAATGACACGGCGTGCCAATTGTGAGCGATTCGACTGAGTCACAAGCAAGTGTGGGCTGCCAACTGCTACCCTCTTGACTCCAACACTCGCATCGACACACAGCTGTGGAATCTAAGCTGGAGATAAGCAAGCTGCCAAAAGTATAGAAACTATTACCATATGACTATGCCGAGTTGCTATTTTAGGCCACTATTCACTTAGTCTGAAAGAAGGCGTGTGGCTTTTTAAAAACATACAACGGAGATGGCCTAAAGTCGCTTCTTTTCTTGTCTGTTTGCCACTGTTTTTCTTCTAAAACTTTAGTCTGGCAGGAAAGGGGTTATAAATTAATAATTTGGTCCCAAGAGAACTCCAGAGTGAGTCATTCCTCCAATTACAACTTGCAGAAAGTAAACACAGAAACACATAAAGGCAGGCAGAGAGCTCCCCTGGGGTGAACCACCCACCTCCCTTTTACATATCACACGATAATACGCAACCTACCGTCTTGTTTGTTTCATACGAGGCAGGCTTCTGCCAATGAGAAACAGGGTCACATTACAAGACTTTCTCACCATTTTATTTATTTTTTTCCCCCCTTGTGATTAAAATTGCTTTGCGAGCGTGAACTTCTTTGCTTATTTATATTTGACGGAAAGGTACGCCGCTTTCAAACACACACTCACACACATAGTGCAGAGAGTCATTCTGGAAACTTCTAACCTCTTTAAAGACTATCTTGGTCGCAGCGTTTCCGTCAAAGCACTACAACTTAAAAAAAAAATAGTCTGGAAATACGGACGAATTTCAATGGACAAGTTCATTCTTGTCCATTGCATTAATGTGCATTAAAAGCACATTAAAATAGTGCTTTTAATGGCTCAAATGAGAAATGCAACACGGAGACTAATGATGAAAATAGACAGTTTGTGCCAGGGCAAATGAATGGTGTTCACGCTGTGCTTGGATTGAGCCGTGGGACGTCGGTGGCCAGGCCTCATTAGCTGCAAGAGGCCAAGGTTGTCAGGCCGAGCGCCGCACACAGTCCTGCACGCGCACTTTCATGCGCACCGAATTTGCACGACTTACCTCACATGCTTTCGCACGTGAAATAGAAGGCGGCAATCAATCGTCTACATTTGTGCAGAGGCGTCATTTAGGTTGAAGCAAGGCAAGGTCATTTGTTCCTTCTTTCCTTTAAACGTTCAGGTGTCACCATCACACCTGAACATTTAAACTCACCGTCGCTGACACAAACTGTGATTAGCCTTTGAATGTGTTTTGGTGCTGCGCATAATTTAACTGAACGCTCGCCATCGCTGAGACACTAGAAGCGACAACTTGTGGATAATACGTAATAGCGACAGTGTTACGTATTATCCAATTGTGCTGCAAGATTGGTTGGTGATCAGTTTGATCATAATGTGTTCCATATCAGGTTGAGTTTTCCAATTTAAAGAGGGTGGTATTATATATTTTATAGACACATAATGTCATTACACAGTAACTAACTTACCTTTAGTTGTCATATAATTTGCTGTGTATATTTAACATTACTTAAAGGAAATTTAACTTCGCAAATTGGCGGATTGAAATTGGACCTCTGTCTCTTTAAAGACCTCCTGCTCTCTCTGACTCCCCACCTTCACCATGCCATCACAAAAATGCTCTTCCGTTATGCCATTTACCGCCATTCCTGGGAGCATTGGACTGAGATGTAGTTTATATGATAAACAGTTGCTGCCATGCAGTTTCACCAGGTGTTTGATAATTGCTGCTGCTGCTAGTCTAGAGGAGTTGAGAGGGGACGACAACGTGAATTTGATGAATACAAATTTCACCTAACCTCTATTGGTCGACATCCTTTTATTAGAAAAGTGAGTNGCTTATCCCCCAGCAACCTGACAGATCTGGAAGAGTTTAGCAGGAAAACTGTGCAAAACATGACATTAACTAAGCACACCTACAAATGAAGAAAACACAATGACTTTAACAAAATGGAAGGCGTAGATCTCAGTGGGAAACCTGAGACATTGCTTACTGGATTATTCAACGTTTGGCTTTAGAACTGGAAAATTTTCTGGGTTTAGTGCAGTTGTTGAAAATTTTAAACAACTTCTAAACTTATATACTTTAGGGAGCTGCAAACATATCTATCAAAAGTATTACTTATTTATGTTTGTGATACAAAATTAAAAAACATAATTTAATGGATGTCAGTTAATGCTTCTACACACTTATGTACAGTAGGTGGCAGCACCTTAAAGTTGTTTGCAATCTGCCATAATTGAAAAGAAGAATAAGAAAATAGCCATCCAAGAATATTTTGAGTTGAAGCTCAGCTTTGATCTTTTTCACAGATTGGGTAAAACATAGCGCTGTGATTGTCTGCCTGTCTCAACATGTTCATCATTATCCCTGTGATGGCCAAATCCATGGCCACACTCTGAAGACAGAAGTCGGTAACTCTTTTATGCACAATTTAGTTTTCACAAGCTTTTTTTTCACACAAACACTTTAGTTTCAGTAAAACATTTATTAGTTGATTTGGATACATTTGTTCTTTTTGTTAGCGCACATATTTAGTTAACATGTGTATTTATATCAACTTTAAGTTAAATTTGTTTGCTTGAGACTGACCTTTTGTTTGTTTTGCCGGTACTTACCTGCCTTGGAGTGGCCAGACAAAAGATGAGGGCCAGGGCTCAGCAGGCTTAAATGCTGATTGGACTGCACCACTAGTTCCTGCTGGCAGGGAAAATTTGTAGTTTTTTTATTTAGATAAGTTTTGTATTTAAGTAATGTTGAGAAAAAATGATTATTTAATTTTTTAATATAGTTTAATCTTTTTTTGAACAAACTTCTTAATTTAGAACAGGTTTGTGTAATGATTTAAAACTAAAACTATTGCTGGGTAAGTATTCAACTTATGGGAAGGAAAATAGAGATTAAAAGGGAACTCTCACTGAGGCTCCTGTTGTGTTATCAGAGAGGACAGGAGGCCATAAAATTAGCATCTGCAGGAAGGCAGTATCACTTGGATGAGCGTGGGAGAGAGAAGTTTGCTCAGTTCACGGAAGATCAAAAAGTCTTCCAAAACTAACATCTGGGACAGTGTAAAACTGAATACAACATAGAATGTTTAAAACCACTAACATTTAATTTGTAAGACATTTTTCTTAGTTATTATTAGCATGCTCTGACAAAATAGTTTAAATGTAGTTTTAGAATTACTAATTTAGTCAGCGATGAATGTATTTTGAAATTGTATTATTTGCTACTATATTGGAATCAAATGGAAAAGTGTGTGAGTGAAAATATTTTGTTTAGTATTAGAAAATTGCTCAGGTTTATGGTGAAAGGGTTTTGGGAAATGATTGTGTTAATTTTTATACTCAGGTTTGAATATTATATTTGTTAGGTTAGAAAAGGGAATTTTTATCCCATTCTGTTTTGTTGATTTTATGTATTACTTTTGGTTTATGCCAGGACTCATTCTTTTGAGGTGCTGAATGCAGAAGAACAAAATGAGGTTTGTAGATATATCCTTTGCTGGAACTAATTACAGAATTTAAGTTTGTTCCTGAGGTATCTGAGTGGGAAAAAGCGGGAGAGATTCCAGATTTCACAGCTATCTGTGAAATATCTTTCTCTGTTTCTCTTTGCCCAGATGGCCTTAAAACCGCAGGAGTTCAGGACAAGCTCTCCTCTCCTTTTGTTAAACAAAGGGGACAAAATAGCTTTTGATCTTGGAAGCAAATTGTAAGGAGGTTCTAACTTTTAGAGGGTCCAAGATAGCTTCCAGTTGGTCAAGCAGAGGTACGCCTTATTTGAATATATTAAAGAGGAAAAACACGCCTTTACTATAAAAGTTTGTACACAGGAGTAACAAATCAGATTGCTGCCTTATTTTGCTTTTTTGCATCAGCACTCTCCAACGACGCGTCTTTGCCTTTTTTTCTATCCTCTTTGTCTCAGGTAAATGAATGTATGACTCTGTTGCTCTGCAGTTTCTGTTGTAATTTTATGTGTTGTCTTCTATTGGATTAAACTGCAATTCTGTGACATCTGCACTCATTGTTGTTTTTGTGTAGCTACACTCGGCCCGCTGGGGAACCCAGGATCGAAGGAGATCGAACCAAAGAGTTTCTTAAGAAATATTATAACTTAAAATCTTCTTCAACAGTAAATATTAGTATTTAAACTTTAATATATTTGATTTTCATTTTTGGGGTCTTTAGTCAAACTTAGCTGTACTGTTAGTTGTTTTTGTGTTATTTGTAATTGTATTCTGTTTAGTTACCCCTATTGTGTCTTAATTGGTCTGATCAGCCAGTATATAAACCCCTGTGTGTCATTTCTTTGTTAGGTCAGTTATGTTTGTTTGTGCAGGCAGTTTGTTTACATTTTTGCCTGAGTTCAGTTTTGTTTCTTTGACCTCTTTTATGAGCTCAGTTTATCTTTTGTCATTTATAATCTTTGGGTTAAAATAAAAAACCCTATTTTTCTAATTAATATCCTGTGGCTCCTCCTGTTTTTAACTCGGTCCATCACAATCCCAGACATTATCTCAAGCCTGAGTAAACCAATCATCTCACACTCAGGAAATAAACCATCAATTAAGGTCCATCTAGGTAAATAAGAAAACTTAGTCATCTTTGTTTTATATGTTTAAGGCACGTTTAGTAATATTTTAAATTTAGATACTTTTTGCTTAAAATTTGCTGATATGCTGGGATATTCTCATGATGTTTTGTTGCTGTGCTGGTTTAAAGCGTCCATGTGTTTGAGATGTTTGGATTCAGGATACAGCTTTGAATTTGGCTTTCTTCTCTTTTTTCTCTCTCTCTCTTTTCTTTTTCATTCCTTTTGTCTTAGACACTTTCACTTTGATTTTATGCAGTCCTAGTAACTCCAATGTTGTTTCCTCCACCTCATCCATCACACCACAGGTGATAGATAGACTGTGTTTTTATATGCATTTGGGTTTCATGCTAATCCTTTTTTTCGTCATGTTTAATTAGTTTAAGTTAATTGAAGTTACTTTTCACTATTCCATTTCATTCTGTTTTATTTCTTTCATTAATTTGATCATTTATTTATCATTTAATTTAATACATACATATATTCCTTTTGTCTTTTCCATCAGTAGCTGCCCTGCATGTCAGAAGTTAGAGAAAGATGGTATTTATTGGATAATTCAGCTGTAAAGTTGGACTATTTTAGCTATAATTAATTAGACTTAATAATAAGTGTGCCAGTGATCATTCCATGTTGTGTGAAGAATTTCTTCTCTATCGTAGTTTGAAATTCATTCCTTCACCAGGTTTGAAGGTTCTGCCTGTTGTTGCTAATGATCTGATCCAAATAGTAAACTCATCGCTCTCTTGAGGTGTTTTCCCCCAGGCTTTGAAAACAGCAGTTATCAAACCACTGATAAAAAAGAACAATCTGGACAAATCACTGCTGCAGAATTACAGGCCGACCTCTGACCTCTGATTCATCAGCAAAGTTATTGAAAAAGCAGTTTAAACAATTAAATAACTTCCTAACGATAACCAACCGCTTTGACTCCTTCCAGTCTGGTTTCTGATCTCACCACAGCACAGAGACTGGCCTAGTCAAAGTGTTCAATGACATCCATATAAATACAGACAGTGGGAGAACCACAGTGCTGGTACTGTTGGACCTCAGTGCAGCTTTCGACACTGTTGTCCACGCCATCTTACTGAATCGACTGGAGAGTTGGGTCGGACTCTCTGGTCCAGTGCTCAACTGGTTTGAATCCTACATAAAGAACAGGGATTTCTTTGTTTCAATCGGAAACTTCTCAGAGAGGTCAAAGGTCACATGTGGGGTACCCCAAGGTTCAATCCTAGGACGCCTTCTTTTCAATATTTATATGCTCCCACTGGCTCAGGTTATAGCAGGAAATAGGATTAGCTACCATAACTATGCGGATGATGCACAGCTCTACATCACGATGTCACCAGGTGACCTTTGACCCCATCCAATCACTGAACAGATGCTTAGAACAGATCAATGTGTGGATGTGGCAAAACTTTCTCCAGCTGAACAGAAACAAAATTGAAGTTATTATCTTTGAACCTAAAGAGGTGTGAACTAGAATCAATGCACAGCTTCAGTTATTACAACTGAAAACCAGCAATCAGCCCGAAACCTGGGAGTAGTGATGACCTCTGACCTGAACCTTCAGAGACATATTAAGACAGTCACAAAGTCGGCCTTCTATCACCTGAAGAACATCTCCAGGATTGGAGGACTGATGTCTCAGCACCATCTAGAGAAACTCATCCATGCGTTTATCTTTAGCCGTATTGATTCCTGCAGCAGCGTCTTCACAGGTCTGACTAATAAATCAATCAAACAGCTGCAGCTGAACCAGAACGCTGCTGCTTGTGTTCTCACTAAAACCAGGAAGATAGAGCACATAACACCAGTGTTAAAGTCCTTACACTGGCTCCCTGTAGCTCAAAGAATAGATTTTAAAATACTGTTAGTTTATAAATCAATGAACGGTTTAGCACCACAATACATTAAAGATCTGTTATTGCTGTACCAACCGTCTAGACCCCTCAGATCTTCTGGTTCTGGTTCTGCTTTGCATCCCCAGAACCAGAACCAAACAGGAGAAGCAGCATTCAGTTTCTATGCACCACAGATTTGGAACAAACTTCCAGAAAACTGTAAAACAGCTGAAACACTGAGTGCCTTTAAATCTCGACTTAAAACCCACCTGTTTAGAGTTACTGATGGAACATAAACAACAATTGGGATTTGAATCTCAACCCGGGTTCAAGCACTAGGGAGAAAAGGGGTGTGGGTTTAGAGTTCCCCCCGCTGTTGAAAAAGGGTGCGGGTTGGAGTTCCCCCATTGTTAAAAAGGGGTGCGGGTTGGAGTCCCCCCGTTGTTTTAAAAGGGGATGCGGGATGGAGTCCCCCCCATTGTTGAAAAGGGGTGCAGGTTGGAGTCCCCCCGTTGTTTTAAAAGGGGTACGTTTTTTTTTTCCTGCCAATTTGAAGGGCAGAACTTTGACTCGGCGGGAAATTTTATGTTTTTGATTGTTTATTCAATGTTGAATAACTGTGTTTTGGTGTTTAATGATGTAAAGCACTTTTTGCTGCTGAAATGTGCTATGGAAATAAAATTTGATTGATTGATGGTTATTGATGAACATCTTGAAGTTGCCTCATGATGCCATTAGTAAATTCAAAGTCTGTGTGGCTTCACCAGCAGCTTGGGAACATTCTAGAAAAGGTCAAAGTGAATGTAAAAAGGAGCAAACAAATGTTGAATTAGAAAGTTTGATAAGAATGAGACTATGTCTACGTAGATATTAGCTTTGAAATGTGACTTTGTTTTACTCAGAGGGTTTAAGTCTCTACAAATGCATTTGAATTGGTTTCCCACCACTTTTCTGACCCAGTTTAAATGACGTGTGGAGAAGAGTGAGTGGGGAGCATTTAAATGCAAGAGATGACAACATGTTTGCCCCCGCATGTGTAGACTATGTGACTTCTCTCAGTCGCTTTCACACCATGGCTCCTTCCCTCTCTTCCTCACAGTTTTTTTTTCAGTTCTTTTCTGACCCTCTCTCTTTCTCTTTTCCACCCTAATGTTTTTTTTGGTCGTTACATTAGCATAATGTAAGCCTTGCCTGCCAGTGTAGAGGAGCAAATCCGCCCCACACTTCCCTCAGCCTCGCCGAAGCAGCCACGGTGATGCTGTTAAGGTACCCAGCAACGGGAGTATCCCTCACTTCTGAAATTTGGGACGTCGCTGACAGGATTATAATTAATGGAAAAACAGGGGACCCACAGTAAACTTGCAACAAGTTAACTTTGCAGCGCTGCATTTAGAAGCGAGTCTGGTGAAGGCCAGGGACTCTGGTTAAAGTGCTTCATTTGCATAAACTCTCAATCTGCCAGCTTGCATGTTATAGTAATACCAACTGGGAATACCAGGCACATAAACACAACACACTGACAGGCTGTCAACTTCAAATTAGATTAGACTCTTTTCCCTGCGCTGTCCTTTAAACCAAGCAGGGAGATGACTATACTGTAGATAACTTCATACATTATGAAGTGCATTATGTAGTTGGTTTGTGCTGTGAAAATACAATTATTATGGTCAGATTGTACAGTTCCACCATACAATCTAATCATCAGCACCATCACTGTATACTTCTCTTGATGTTTAGTTAATTATAATTAATTGCAGTGTTTAGCTATTTTGAATTTGCTTCTACAATCAGATTCTTGTTGGTGCAACTTTAGCTCCATTTGTACAAAATCATTTAGTTGGATTTGTTTTGTTAGCTAGATGAATATAAACTATTGCGTAATATGTAATAATTAACTGTATGACTGTCTGTGTGTGTGTGTGTGTGTGTGCGCGTGCGTGCGTGCGTATGTGTGTGCCAGTGATTAAGTCTGTACTTATGCTTGTGTATTGTGATTAGAAATGAACTTGTAGTGCTATATTTTCTGTTGCATTTCATTATTGTAATGTATATCCATTTATATAATCTTTAAGGTTGCAGATGTGAATAAGTTCATGGTATAATCTGGTACAACGCATTAAATGGTGACATTTATCTTTGAGTTGTACATCGTTCCTTTCTAAATAAAGTTTATTACTATTATTTGAAGAGAAATACTAAATTTAAACTAAAAAAATAGGTAACAAAAATAAAAAATGTGTTAAAATGGAATAGTGTATATATGTATATACACTTTAGTACAATTACACACTGATTTCTAGTCAATGTGGCACACAATATGGAAGCTATTGAAGAAAACATATTATTTAATCTTAAAATTATTTAAAATATTGAATATGACTTGACATTTTAATAGAGGGTAGTGTGTCTCATGTAAAAGCATGAATTACCATTTTTTTGCCAGTTGATCACAAGGCAAGGCATTTATTAACATTTGTTTGACAGGAGTGTTTGGTTCAGAAATTTGTTGACAGTCCCTAAGTGAACCTTCGAGCGCTGAGGAGGGAGCTAGAGAACGGCTGGCCGAAATTAGTGTTCATAAATCAGATCGATCTTGAGCTAATCGCTGCTTGCTCGGCGGATATTGGAATATCCAATATCCAATTCAAAACTAACTTCATTGCAGTCGGTAACACAATAAAATCACCAGGATAAAATTTGTTTTGGTCTGTGGCCTTGAAAGATGGCACCGAGCGACTGCGCGAGACGTAAATGCCCCACAACATCCGACGCAGTGACGTTGGTTCCAAAGCTCTATTGACCAATAGCAGAGGAGCTGGACATAAAAGGCAGCTCCTCATTAACATAAAAATGCACACGGAAAAGTAAAAAAGGGAGAGGAGGCAATAACAAAAGGACGAGGGAAAAGACAAAACAAAATATTTACTTTTCTTGACAAAAACACGTTTAGGGGAAATGAAAAAGAAAATATATACATTTCTTGATGGAAACTCATGTGTAAGGACAAGAAAAAAATAAATATATATTTATGCTTTTATTTCTTGTTATGTCAGTTTTGGTCCACCAAATCTTGCAAGCTGTTCAATCAATACAGCATTTGTTTTGTGTAGAAGACCATTTTCTGCCCGGCTAAGGTAGAAATAGCCTGAAAATTAACATGTTTTCCAGTCGTGAGAGAGGAACTTTAGCCAGGAGGTCAGCGTGGCTAACAGGATTATTATGCATGACTTGAATTGCATCTGAGCAGTAATATTGTTGTGACATCTGCGTAACAGACCTGACCGCAATTTCACAAAAGTCAAGGCTGACTGTCCAAACAAGGCCTAAAAGGTCATTTAAAGGGATAAAAAATATTTGCATAAAATTATGCAATCAAAATCCATATCTGCGACTTGAACACCACAGTATGCAGCTTGATTCAGAGCAAAGTTTTATCACTGTTAATGATAAAAAAGTTAAAAAATCTGTTTTATAGAGGCAGCAAGGAGTACAGTATATGAATCTATACATCTGAGGGTCATTCCACAGCAGCTCTGTTACAACCTCTGAGTTTATGAATGCAGTGTTTTGGAAAATTCTTGCAGGGTTTGCTTTGACCACAGCGAGAACATACAAATTCAACAGAAAACTTGCAAATAAAAAAAATAAATAATGAAAATGAATAAAATAAGTTGCACTGTGAGGCAACAAGAGGTATAGAATAAAATGTATCATCTACCTCTGATCGTGTCAGCTGTCGACTCCACTGAAGGACATTCTAAAGACTTTAACAATTGAACATCAATGAGGGATTGTTCAACTGTCAAGCTAAAGCTTGACAATCTCCACATCGGGTACAGTTCCCAGCAAAAGTATTAAAACGTAAACTTTTAATAAATTCTGTGATTTTCTGAGATGGACCAACATAGTGAGTGGTTGTGAAGCTGAACTGAACTGATAAATTTTTAAAGATTTTTACCAACAAAAATCTAAGATGAGGTCTATTCATTTTTAATCAACTCACTTTACTCTGATACCTTTAGAAAAATTGAGTAGACCAATTCCTATAGGAATCCATTGGGTAAGTAAGGGCTGAATGCAAAAAGCACCTTCCTCTTCAGAATTTTTTTTACGTCAATAATCTAAAATCTTACCTATTTGAATTGAAATTTGGAAATTTGGGTGCTTGCCAACCTTTTCTCAGTGGATAAAACTTTACTGCACTTTTTCACAGCTAAACATTTGCATTAGAATATTGTGTTTTTCTTCCCCTTTGTCTGAACTAAATATAGGCTAATAACTAAACAACTAAAATGTTTTTAAAATGGGACATGGTGCATCAAATCTATCATTGGATGCAGAATGATGGCAAAGGTAAATTGACCATATTGTATAAAGATGTTGGACACCACCGCTAATTTTATTTTCATCTTTTATAAACTATTAGTCTATTAGTTTTAACAGACTAATCCAACATATTAGTCATATGTTAGTCCATATGCATATGTAAGCATATGTTAACATATGTTGGAGCTAATATGCATTTCTGTGCATATGTTAGCTCCAACATATGCACAGAAATATATTTTTTTATCCTTTCAAGTAATTCTCAGATCATTCAAGTAATTCTTAGGCTATTCTTTCAGTTTAGTTAAAACCATCTTGACATTTTTGTTTAGTTTAAATGCAGATTAGTTAGTCCATCAAACTAAAGCAAAGGCCTATCTCAGAGCAGCCAACACCAAAGCTGACCTCTACTGCTTATAGATAAATTTACATTAGCTTGCAAAGCATTTCTAATCACCTAACAGTGAAGTAAAGTTTTGTAAAAATGAATTATAATAGGCAGCAAACAAGCAGAAAGAAAATTGGGGAAGATTTAAAGCGAATCAAACCCTGGAGACCAGTAGCCTCTTCATATGGAGAAAGGAGATTATTTAAAAAACGGCTGGCTGAACATAAACTAGAACTGAAAAAAAAAACGTATAATACATTAAAGAGTAATTAATTACATTTTTAGTAAGTAGTGAAGTATCAGGTGTTCAGGCTTCCTTTGACATCTTTACAGATTTAGAAGGAGAAGTTTTTAATTGCAGATGTTAGACTTAGCTTTGACCTCATTTTAAGTGACAGACTAACGGCAGGCAAAATGATATTGCTGTTCCAATGCAAAACATTCATCTGTCCCAAGTTTACGCTCCTTGTTATCAAATAAAAGCAAATTATCTCATGTAACATGCTCTGTGATCACAGGGACTTGTAATGACTTCAAAAGACGCAGAACTCAAAAAAATTCAAAGGCAAACCAACTGGAAATCAGAAGGCTTTGCTAACTGACAATTAAACAACTGACAAGAATTCAAGAGCATAACTGTTTGACAATGGGTCATAAAATGTATGCCCAAAACCAGTGGTGGGAAGTAACGAAGTACAAGTACTTCGTTACTGTACTTAAGTACAATTTTCGTGTATATGTACTTTACTTAAGTAGATTCAATAATGGATACTTTCTACTTTTACTCCACTACATTTTACAGTAAGTATCTGTACTTTCTACTTCTCTACATTTCTACAAAAGTGTCGCGTTACTCGTTACATCCAAGTCGCATTGCTCTTTTTTCCGTTAAAATGTGAAGTTCAGGGACTTAAGGTGGCGCCGTAAAATCCAAGCAATAACGTGACTTAGTGCCTGTTGTCACCCATCGCCTCCACCTTTACTCGCACGCGGAGCTCCAGACATGCGCAGTGGTTTCCTCTGAGCGGGAGAAGATGTCTGTCTAATCGTCAGTTATATAATAGCGCTGCATAAATCATAAGATATGGTGGCATGTAAAATAAGCAGAGCTTCGCTTTCACAGACGGTGGGGACTTCGTCCAACTTTTAGCATCACTTGGAAGGAAAGCTTAAAGAAAGGTAAGATCTGTGGACATGATGCTAGCAAAGCTAGCTGTACTGACTGAGACACACATGTTGCATCTGCGATGAAAATAAGTTGTCACTCATGCACTGAATTATTGTGTGGAGGTGTTGACTGAGGTGTCGCAAATATGGGACAACGCTGTGACCAAAGTCTGCATTGATATGACATTCAGGAACGATCCGATTCTTCTGGATGGATCTTTACTGATTAAATTTATTTCAGCTCTAGGTATTTAATATTTAGGGGTTTTATGGGAATGGGGATCTTTCAGATCAATTTGAGAAGCAATTGTGATAGGTAAAACTTAATTTTTTTGTGCCACGTAGCGCGGGGTACTGGAAGAAACACGCTTGGATTTTAATCGGTGCGTTTTGAATCCAGTGAAAACAAAGATGTTAACAAATAAACTGGACAGTATGCTCTACGCTTATTTCACAGTTGAGGTCTCGACTGGTCTTGAAATAAAATGCTGAGTCCTCAGCGTCCGAGACCGAGACAAGACCGAGACCAAATGCGGTCGAGACCGGTCTCGAGACCAAGACCGTTCTCGAGTACTACAACACTGCAAGCCAGTGGAGAAAAACCCGCATCTGCATCCAAAGCAACTGAGTCAGTGAAGTAGCTAGATATGCTAGTGCAGTTTATTTGCAAGTACACCTCGCTGCAGCAAGCAGAAAGGGGCGGGGACGGACCGCTGTCAGTCTCTTACCTTATTTGGAAATGGGACCATTGCACTCCGGAAGTGAAGGGGGCGCTATTTCCTATATTATCAGCGTTCTCCTGTTTAAATTTTCTTTTGAAATCTGTGATGTAGCTTCATCTGTAGGAAGGAGTTTCACTCTCAGCATGTATTTCAGCGTCTCTTTTCACTTCAGCGCAGCTCACAACTTTTAACAAATTCCGTAGCTTTCTGTGTACATCTAAATCTGCTTCTTAGTCGCATCTTTTCAGGCCTGCTACTGCCTCTAGTGGCGTGGGGGTGGTAACACAACTAATATAAGTATGTCACTAAATGAGAATACCACAAAATCTTTATTATTTACTATTAATTTCGCCATTTCTGGCAACGTGAAAGATAAATTGTCTTCTAAAATACTATATTTTTCTTCAGGATGTAGAGCTAATTAGGTGACATAAACAACACCTTTATACATTATAAATAACATCTATATATCTCCATCACTTATAAGAGGAAGAAAATAAATAAGACATGAAAAACAACATTATCAACAACAATAAAAATACCATATACAAAATATACATAAGAAATTTAATTGAGCAAAAGTCAATAACAAACAAATTAATTAGGTTCACAGACGAATAACCAGGATTGTTAAACAAGCAATAATCCACATTTTTGTTTTGTTGGTAGAGTCCTATATATAGGAAAAAATATGATTAAACTATTTAGTCTTCCAAGGTGGAAATTTTTCTTTGACTCTAAAACAATAAAATAAAACTAATTAATAGAATAATAATATCAGCAATTTGTGCATCAAGTAAACACTTAGGTAAACACTACAGGTAAATGTTATCATTTAATTTGGCTAATAATAATTATTGCACTGTTAGTGAATGACTTCTAATAGATGTTGTATATTTACCAGAGGAACACAATAACGCCTTCATGAGCTCAAAAAGGATGGATGTTCTAAACAGTTTAGACAGAGTTGTTATTGGTTTCATCACTATTTACCTACTATTTTTCCAAGTATTCTTAAAAGATTGTCTGTTAGTCTGCAGCTCATGTTACCAAACCAGCTGAGGAGATGAAAAGCTAAAGCCCTCAACAGTTAAAACTTGAGATGACTTAAAACTTAAGTTAAATTTTTAAGTTTTAACATTTTAACTGATTGTTAAAATGTCAACATGACTTAACTAGAGGTAATGTTAGCTAATGTTACCTCTAACTAACTTTAGGTTTTGCACAAGTTGCACTTGATAGGTAACCCCAAGATCACTGGGTCTTCTTAAAAGATAGAGTGAAGTTTCTTAAAAATGTAGCCAGTGTTTTCAGCAAAATTGAGCTGACTGTCCAGGAATGATCCAAGGTATTTAAAATGTGCCATAGTTTCAACAGGTTGGCCAACGAATGAAACTGGAACCACTTTCAGGTCTTGTTTATGTCATTTAATTCGCTCTACTTCCTTAAGAAAATTAAAGGTATGGTGTTTTGTGAGGGACTTTATCTTTTGCGGTTCCAGTTATGCGAGAATTAATAATAAATAATAAAGACTTTGGTATTCTGATTTAGTAATGTATTTATATTAGTTGTGCTACCACCCCCACTCCACTAGAGGCAGTAGCAGGCCCGAAAAGATGCGAAAAAGGAGCAGATTTAGAAGTACACAGAAAGCAACGGAAATTGTTAAAAACAGAGCTGTGCTGAAGTAAATAAAAGAGAGAAGTTCAAATACATGCTGAGAGAGGAAGTCCTTCCTAAAGATGAAGCTATATCACAGATTTCAAAAGAAAATTAAAACGGGAGACCGCGGATAAAATAGGAAATAGCGTCCCCTTCACTTCTGGAGTGCAATGGTCCCATTTCCAAATAAGGTATGAGACTGTCAGCGGTCCGTCCCCGCCCCTTTCTGTTTGCTGCAGCGAGGTCCTTCTCGTTATTTGCGGCCATTTCTTCAAGTCACCATCCCTCCCCACAATAGCTGTAGGCAGCGATAAAACAATATTGCCACATTTAAACTGTGATAGCTGGAGTTCCCACATATTTTATAGCCTAAAACCCTCTGTGGAAAACCGGTTAGTGAGTTGATAACATGTAAACAAAGGCGGTTCCTGGTTGCAGCGGAAGTCGCACCCATAAATCACGCTAAGCCTCATGGGGGCTAGGAATAAGGTGGATACATAGACATAATATAAGAATAGACGCCTCATGGACCGCTCTCGCCTATTGTCGCTAATGAGATTTAGGGCGGCCATATCTTGGAGCGGTCCACCACTCCACTCAGCGTTATGTGTTTAGCAGGCACAATGACGTATCAGCGAATTTAATCGATCATAACACGCTTTTTTGTTACTGGAAACCTTATTCAAACATCTATCAAAGCTACATTTATAAACAATTGTATTTTTTAGGTATGTTTTAATACATAGTTCATCATATTTAAATATGCTTAGTGGCTATAACAATAGAATAGGAATGGAATATTCTGATATCAATGTATGAAGAGCATGTTACAAAGCACACAGCCGTTCATAATTTATTTAATAAATTAGTCATATCAATACATATTTATATAACTATACAAACACAAATAATGATTAATAATGACACAAATAAATGATTAATACTGAATAATATATATTGGATACATGTTTATATGTATGTATATACATACATATATAGAGATATATGTATATGTTTTTCAGCCGACGAGTTCTAGCTTCAGAGATTCAGCAGCTGAGATTGAGTCCAAAATCCAATGTGAGATTCATCCATGCTGTGCAGTGAATCCGTCTCTCTTTAAAGATATGTCCCACTTCTTCCTCACATCGTGTCTTTAGGAAACCTTCAAAACAAAAACGGAAGATTTGGGATGTATCTTACTTTTGACAGAGTGAAAGAATTACAAACCCTGTGCTGCGCCTGCTAGTACTTTCAAAAGAATATTCAGATTTTAACATGCATTTTCTAAGTAGTAAATATTTCAGTTTACTCTTACTGAGTAACTTCAGTGTTGTTACACCTCTAAAACATTTTTTGCAGTTTCTTTAATTTTGATACCAGAACTGTTTCACTTAAATATTTAATTCTCTGTGATATTGTCAATTTATTTTCAAGCAAAACTCTCAAAAAGAGCTTACGGTTTATTAGTTTTTGATTACATTGTGTAGCTAAATATGAACACTTAGTTTGCAACAAGTCTGATGTCTGAGTAACTCCTGTTCATTTTGATATCCTGTTTGTACCTACAGTAAAATGAAATCTCTTTTGTAATACTCTACATTTCACAAACCTTTCCCCCCCCTTTTCTCAGTGTTTACATTATATCAAGTATTTGCATGTAGATCAGGAATTCAAGTGAGATATTAAAATGCACCACTTTTAAGTGCAAAGAAATTTGAATATTAAGTAATATGCAGTTAGTCGTATAATTCAATATACTGAATAAGGCTGGATGATATGACTTACAAGATTTCTTTTCATACCAGATTTGATTTTAATTGATTCCTCCTATCCTCAATTTCTATAAAAAATAAAATAATTACAGAAAATAATTTCACAAGTGTCTTTATTTCAATCATTTCTTCTGTGAGTTGTATAAGGGAGCATTATGGCCAGGCTACAAGTAGTTTTAATTACAAGAATGCAGTCATCATAACAGCAGAATAAAGATGCAATTTTACAACAACGTCTTAATATTACAAGAAGTCATTTTAATGAGAAATAAAGATTTAGATTAATATGACATAACCAGCTCAGTTCATGTGGTTCTGACATTTGTCAGTAATCAAGAGGATGTACACTGCCACTTCAATTGACCAGGTAAGCATTAAGGTAAAAAAAAAAAATAGAGCAAATATACAAAATTGAAACAGAGCTATGGATAGGAATATTTTCTATATAAAGAAAAGCAAAAAAAGTTAATAGCAGGAGAAAAGTTGTTGGCACCATTAGCTCAGTCGATCCCTCCCTCCAGGAAGCCACCAAACAGAACTCCAGCTATATTATAGATGAAAAAAGAAAGAAAACAGAACAATAAAACTAACAACTAATGCCAATTTGATAATTCAGATCTAATGCGTTCCAGATGCAAAAAACGCTCTGAAATTTATCTTTGATATTTTACAAATTTCACAAATCAATTAGAAGGTTTAACAAATGTTTCATTTATTCTCCTATTAGTGCAGAATAATCTAGTTAGGTTTGAAATGTCTAAGTGTTGTTTTTAAAGTACAACACATTAAAAATGCTCAAGATAGTGAAAAATTAAGTGTAATCATTTAGCTATTTTCCGAATTAGATGCTATATTTGGAAGCTAACTTCAGATTCGACTGATTGCTACTCGTTGGGCACTATGTATATAGATAGATATATCATATATACACTGCTAAAAAAAATAAAGGGAACACTCATATAACACATCCTAGATCTGAATGAATGAAATATTCTCATTGAATACTTTGTTCTGTACAAAGTTGAATGTGCTGACAACAAAATCACACAAAAATCATCAATGGAAATCAAATTTATTAACCAATGGAGGCCTGGATTTGGAGCCACACACAAAATTAAAGTGAAATGTTCCCTTTATTTTTTTGAGCAGTATATTTACATAGATCTATATCTATCTATTACATAGATAGATCGCACACTGTGCAGATAATCAAAACACTTAACGTTTATATAGCATCTTTGTAAGATCGTCCCCGTTAGCTACATCAGATATATGAGGCATTATGGTAAATACAAATGATTTATTAACTTACCTTCAAAGTTATTGTGAAGTTTTGACACATCCAGCTTAAATCCTTTGTTGTTGTTGGAGCGTGTCAGGACATCTGAAAAATTCTATAAGCATCATTAATAGTCCTGTAGCGACCAAGGAGTCATCATTAACATACTGTTGCCTGCACACCGGAAAGGAGTCTATGTGGCAAAAAAATGCGGAAGTGCTAAAACGGAAGTCCGTGCCATATATGCTCATAGACATAATATAAGCATAGACAAGCATAGACCCCGCATTGGCTGCTCCGGCGCAGGAAATACGGCAGCCATCTTGGAGCGGTATACCCTCCTACTTTGCTCAATTAAAACAGCAGAAGATGCCTCAGCACTGAGGGATATTGTTGTTCGGATCGATGGACTAATGATGTGAGGGCTCGACAGACAACATTTCACAAGTAAGATGGACATTGTGTATATTTTGTGATTAGAATATTATTTTACTGCATTTATGTCCACCGGCGAGATACCAGCTAATGTTAGCTACAGTGCTTGGTGTAATACTGGGGTTCAGCCCCACTATGAAAGCTAACCTGAGATTCTGTAAATCTTAAAAAAATTAATTATTCTCTAACATTGGCTTAGATTATCTGACACAAGAGCCTATATAAGAAATGAAACAATGTAACATATATTATAAAACTTATATTATGTGTTATAACATCCACCAGCACAGTTTACACAGGTGGTAAAGACTATTATTTATGTGTAATTCTTTCACTCTGTCAAAAGTAAGATAACTCCCAAATCTTCCGTTTTTGTTTTGAAGGTTTCCTAAAGACACAATGTGTGGAAGAAGTGGGAAATATCTTTAAAGAAAGACAGCTTCACTGCACCACGGATGAATCTCGCATTGAATTTTGGACTCAATCTCAGCTGCTGAATCATTCTTCAACTAGAAATCGACGGCTGCAAAACAGCCGACAAATAATATATATATTAGACTATACATGTTTATATGTATATATCTAATATATATTATTCAGTAATAATCATTATTTATTTGTGTCATTATTAATCATTACTTATTTGTATGTTTATATAAATATGTATTGATATTACTAAATAGAAGACCCCTTATATCTTTGGATCTGGCGTTCCCTTGCCCGGACGTGGGTCACTGGGGCCCCACTCTGGAGCCAGGCCTGGAGGTGGGGCACGATGGCGAACGCCTGGTGGCCGGGCTTTTACCCACGGAGCCTGGCCGGGCTCAGCCTGAAGAGAAGACGTGGGTCCCCCTTCCAATGGGCTCACCACCTGTCGGAGGGGCCAAAGGGGTCGGGTGCATTGTGTTACGGGCGGCAGCCGAGGGAGGGGACCCTGGCGGTCTGATCCTCGGCTGCAGAAGCTGGCTCTTGGGACGTGGAACGTCACCTCTCTGGTGGGGAAGGAACCAGAGCTAGTGTGCGAGGCTGAGAGGTTCCGGCTAGAAATAGTCGGCCTCACCTCGACATGTGGCTCTGGTTCTGGAACCAGTTTCCTTGAGAGGGGCTGGACATACTTCCACTCTGGAGTTGCCCACGGTGAGAGGCCCCGGGCAGGAGTGGGCATACTTGTTGCCCCCCATCTTGGCACCTGTACGTTGGGGTTTACCCCGATGAACAAGAGGGTGGCCTCCCTCTGCCTACGGGTGGGGAGACAGGTTCTGACTGTTGTCTGTGCTTACGCGCCGAACAGCAGTTCAGATTACCCACCCTTCTTGGAGTCCTTAGAGAGGGGGTACTGGAGAGTGCCCCTCCTGCGGACTCCCTTGTTCTACTGGGGGACTTCAACGCTCACGTGGGCAATGACAGTGAGACCTGGAGGGGCGTGGTCGGAAGGAATGGCCCCCCCGATTGGAACTCGAGTGGTGTTCTGTTGTTGGACTTCTGTGCTCGTCATGGATTGTCCATTACAAACACCATGTTCAAGCATATGTGCACTTGGCACCAGGACACCCTAGGCTGCAGTTTGATGATTGATTTTGTCATCGTTTCATCGGATCTGCGGCCGTATGTCTTGGACACTCGGGTGAAGAGAGGTGCGGAGCTGTCCACTGACCACTACCTAATGGTGAGTTGGCTCCAGTGGTGGGGGATGAAGCCGGTCAGACCTGGCAGGCCAAAACGTGTAGTGAGGGTCTGCTGGGAACGTCTGGCGGAGTCCCCTGTGAGACGGAACTTAACTCCCATCTCTGGCAGAACTTTGAACATGTTCCGAGGGAGGTGGAGGACATTGAGTCTGAGTGGGCCATGTTCCGTACCTCCACTGCCGAGGCGGCTTATCGGAGCTGCAGCAGCGAGGTTGTTGGTGCCTGTCGCGGCGGCAACCCTTGTACCCGTTGGTGGACACCTTCGGTGAGGGATGCTGTCAAGCTGAAGAAGGAGTCCTATCGGGCCTTTTTGGCCTGTGGGACTCCAGAAGCAGCTCATGGGTACCGGCGGGCGAAGCGGCATGCGGCTTGGGTGGTCGCTGAGGCAAAAATCTGGGCGTGGGAGGAGTATGGAGAGGCCATGGAGAAAGACTTCCGCACGGCTTCGAGGCGATTCTGGTCCACCATCCGGCATCTCAGGAGGGGGAAGCAGTACAGCACCAACACTGTTTATAGTGGGGATGGTGTGCTGCTGACCTCAACTCGGGACGTTGTGGGGCGGTGGGCGGAATACTTCAGAGACCTCCTCAATCCCACCAACATGCCTTCTGTTGAGGAAGCTGATCCTGGGGACTCTGGGTTGGGCTCTCCAATCTCCGGGGACGAGGTCGCCAAGGTGGTGAAAAAGCTCCTCGGTGGCAGGGCCCCTGGGGTGGATGACATCCGCCCGGAGTTCCTTAAGGCTCTGGATGTTGTAGGGTTGTGTTGGCTCACGCGTCTCTGCAATATCGCATGGACATCGGGGGCAGTTCCCCTGGATTGGCAGACTGGGGTGGTGGTCCCCCTGTTCAAAAAGGGGGACCGGAGGATGTGCTCCAATTACAGGGGGGTCACACTCTTAAGCCTCCCTGGTAACGTCTATCCAGGGGTCCTGGAGAGGAGGGTCCGTCGGATAGTCGAACCTCGGATTCAGGAAGAGCAGTGTGGTTTTCGTCCTGGTCGTGGAACACTGGACCAGCTCTACACCCTCAGCAGGGAACTGGAGGGTGCATGGGAGTTCGCCCAACCAGTCTACATGTGTTTTGTGGACTTGGAGAAGGCGTTCGACCGTGTCCCCAGGGGGGCCTTGTGGGGGGTTCTCCGGGAGTATGGGGTACCGGGCCCTTTGATACGGGCTGNCTAAAATCTCTGTGTGCCCCATGTTGCCTTGCAAAAGCTTCCATACCCATTAAACTCCAGTGTATTTTATTGGAGTTGCATTTGATTGACCAACAGGCCTGACCAGCACAAAGTATCACATAACTGTAAAAACTGTACAACAAAAATGCGACATTTTAGTTTTGCAACAAAAATGAAATCTGAAATGTCCCTGAGTGCCAGCTTCAAGACTGAACTTGTTGCCGATTCTTTATAAAATAGATCAAGTTTAGTCAGATTTGATTGAAAACATTTCAATTCACTGTTCAAGTCTTACCACAGGCTTTCATTTGAACTCAGGAGGAGGCTTTGAGTAGACCAGCTCAACGCATGGCGTTAAGGTTGTTGCCCTCTAAAGTTGACCTTTGCCCCAGTTTCAACTCCATTTCAGCCTCTCACAAGTTTTCTTTTATCTCATCTATATTTCCATCAACTCTGTCCAGCTTCTTTGTCCGCAGTCAAGTAGGCCCGCAGCATGATGATGCCACTTCT